GCTGCTGCTCGTTTGGTCGTGACGGCCTGACGGCCACCAGCCTTTTATATAAGAGACAGAGCTTCATGACAGCATTCAAAGAGGAACCTCAGCACGCGCTCCGGGAGAGAAGTCCCGCCCCCAGCCCTCTTCTCACTTTCCCCGCTCCTCACCCTGCCCCGGGTTCCACCACCTTGGAGCCCTCTTCGGGGCTAAGGCATGGTGTCTCTGGTTTAAATCAAGACGGATGCTCCTGCCTCCAAGCCCAGCACACTGCAGGACGGCAAGGTCAGCCCAGGGTCAGGCCCGCCCGCCTCGTGGGGTGAGCATCTGTAAGTGGTCTCTGCCCTGCAGCCCCTGCTACCTACCTTTCAGAGCTGCCTCGTGCATCACTTCCTCTGGTGCTCACTGCCAGGGCTGGGGGCTTTGTCAGACGGTTGCCAGAGTGACAGCTGGCTGGGAGCAGGCTGGTGGAGGGGCGGTGGGGCCAGCAGAGGGGTTGTGTGCCACTGGGGAGGGACTGGAGCGGAGGGTGGGGATTTGGGGACCCCTCTCAGAGACATCTCTGGGAATCTGTGAGGACTGGAGCTGAGTGACTCATGAGCACAATCTGGGGCCTCCCCAGGCAGCGGGGGATGCCATGTGCCAAGTTGCTACTACAGCTGTCTGTCCGTCTGTCTGTCTGTCTGTCAGTAGGCCTTTGGCTCCCAAGTCAGGGCGATTGAGTTGAGTGTGGGGTCAAGTTGCCCAGACAAGCTGTCGCTCCTGATGGTTCTGGTGATGCGGACGCAGGGTCAGAGCTTCTAGACCAGCGGTTCTCAACCTGTGGGTCACGACCCCTTTGGCGGTCGAACGACCCTTTCACAGGGGTCGCCTAAGACCATCCTGCATATCAGATATTTACATTACGATTCATAACAGTAGCAACATTACAGTTAAGAAGTAGCAACGAAAATAATTTTATGGTTGGGTCACAACATGAGGAACTGTATTTAAAGGGAGGTTGAGAACCACTGTTTTACTCCTTTGTCTTCCTCCCTGCTCCTGATCACCTGAGCCAGATTAATCATGGAGCAATCCAAATGGATTGTAGAGCAGGCTGAAGTGATTGATTTGGTCCATGTGCCCATCACGTAGTGAGCATACAGGCAAACAAGTAATGAAAAACTCCTTCTTCGAGTTCTCAGTACTCTGCCTATTAGTGTTTACTATCATTCAACCCTGAGAATACAGAAGTAAAATATTAATGCATGCACTTAACACTAATGTCCATAATAATAATCGCAGAAGTCGGTATTTTGTGGAAGAGCCACACTCAAGGGGCTAAAGAACCGCATGTGGCTCGCGAGCCGCAGTTTGCCGACCACTGGGCCAGAAGGTTGAGAACCACTGTTCCAGACCTTTCTGTCTCTCCCACTGCTTGCTGTGGGGAGTGGCCACTCCCTGCCCTGGGCCCCTGCTCCTCCTCAGGGGCCATCAGCTCTGACATTGGGGTTGGCTGTTAGGAAGCCACACAGACGCGTGCTGAGTGTCTCTCCTCTTTGGGAAAGGGGTTCGGGGGCACGGAGGCCCTGGGGGAGTGTGGGAATGGAGAGGAGACAGGGGAGGTGACCCCAGCATCGGGGAGGGAGGTGGGACAGGCTGAGATGGCTGGCCGGTCAGAGCTTACCGTTGGGGCAGTGTGAAAAGCAGGGTGGGGGTGGGGGGCAGCTCCAGCAGGCAGGGGGGCTTCAGGGATCGGGCGTGGGGGCTCTGGAATGAGCAGGTTTCCTGGGCTCTGGGAGACTGGAGCATGCCTCAGGGGTGGGTGTGGGGAGGAGAGAGAGGAAGCCAGTGTTTATGTCCCAACTCCTGCCGGCCATTGGTTGAGGGCTGCCCTCGGAGCGAAAACTTCCTGGTGTTTGCAGCCCCCCAGCCAGAGAAGGCCCCGGAGAGCGGCAGGAGGAAACCATGTGTGGGTGCAGGGCCAGGGAGGGCTGAGGAGGCAGCCCAGGGCAGCACCACCTTGGAGGCTGGCACTTGTCTGCATTGTACAAGTGAGGAAACAGCTCAGAGGGTTCGAGGGACTTCCTGCGTTGCTTCCTGCCAGCAGCAGGTCACTGAATGCGGTGCACAGATGTGCAGGACAGGCCCTTGCCCGATCCCTCCGCTTCCACATCTGTAAGATGGGAGGACGCCTGCCCAGGACTGACCCTGAGGGCAGCTGCTGCCTGCAGAGCACTTAGCGCAGTGCCTGGCCCGACACCTGGCCCATCCCCTGCGGCTCCGTGAGCCGGAGCTGAGTGCACAGAGGCAGGCAGGAGGGCTCACACCTGTCAAAGGCCTCTCGCTCCCCCAACGCGGTCCATCATCTGGCTGAATGCCTTCAACCTGATTAGCAGGGTCGTGTGTCCGCTGTGGCCTTGACCAGATGGGTCTGCATCCCTGGGAGGGATAGTTCATTAATCCGTCCGCACAGAGGAGATGGCGGAATCAACTGGTTGTAAGTAGGGCCCTGAGAGAATAGGACCCTGGATGGATGCGTTTTGACAGCTTGATTTTATTTGTTGAGAGACAGAGATGCGGTAAGAGGAGTTTCTAGTCCAGGCCAAGACAATGGGCAAAGAGCAATGTGGCCCAAGAGCGAGGGGCTGAGGGACCCAGGGGGCCAGCGTGTGTGAAAGGTGGGGTGGGTGGTGGGGAGCCACACCCGTAGGCAGCTGAGCTGAGGACCTCCCTGCTCGCCCTGTGGGCTGCAATGAACCAAACAAACGTAGGCGGCTTCGGGCCTCAAGAGGCCCTGATCCCCCAAAGCCCCCTCCTGGGTTCTGCTAACTCCTCCTCTCTCCTCTTCTTGCAGGAACCTTTTGGACAAAGACATGTTTTCCAAGTCTGACCCACGTAAGTCCTGCTCTGACAATAGTAACAGTGGCAACGGCATTGTGGCGATGGCAGCGGCCAGCCCCTGAGTCCTCGCTGAGCGTCAGGGCACCCTGTGCCGGTCCAGGCTGCTCTCGCGAACACTGTCTGAGAAAGGACTGGGCGGCTGGCCCTCCCCAACCCCCACACTTGTGAAGCCTCAACACAACCGAGCGGGTTGGGCGGGTCAGCGTTTCAGGCCCAAAGTTTCCAGAACCAGGGAAACCAGTACATTTAAGAGCCCCAGTTGGCTGTGGTCCAGGGGACCGAGCCCTGATTTTGGAGCCCAGGGTTCTAGCCCAGAGAAGTGCCACTCAGGTATGTGGCCTCACGCAGGCCACGGCCTCCTCCGAGCCCATCGGTGCGGGGGCTGGTGACAGTGACAGGCTGCCCTGAGCCCTAGGGATGACGGGGGTTTCAGGTGCTCTCCTGCCACACCTCTGCCACCAAGTCACCCCTCATGCCCACCTGTCTGCCTGCTGCACACTTGCTCAGGCTGAGATGCCAACGGCCCTGACCCCCTCCCCAGAGGGCCCTCCTCCCAGGCACACCGATGTTCTAGGCCCCCTTCTCCAAGCTGAGGATGCCCCAGACCCCACCCTGCCACCCAGGCACACTCTCCCGAGGCCCCGCCCTCCCGAGGCCCCGCCCTCGAAGCCCCGCCCCTCCAGGGCCCTCTGCACAGGGACACCCCTTCTCCTGGCCTGTGTGGCATGTTAACCCTTTTTCCCTCCTCTCCCCACAGTGTGCGTCATGTATACTCAAGGGATGGAGAACAAGCAGTGGAGGGAGGTAGGTCCCGCCCCTTCCCCACCCAGACACCAGCCTGGCCCTGGTGGGAGTCTGCTTGTCCCTGATGGCAGTCACCTGACTCTGGAGACAGCCCCCCTCCCCCATGTTCATAACTGCAGCCTCTGAGCCCGAGGGAAGGAGAGTGAGGTGTGCAGAGGGGGGGACTCGTCCCCGCTGCTGCAGGAGGAGTCCAGGGGAGGACTGGAAAGTCCCTGCCCTCGGGGAGCCCCCGTCTGAGGGGGACACCGCCCTGCCCTCAGGAAGCTCCCGTCTGAGGGGACAGAAGAAGTGATCTGGTGCCCTGACAGCCGTGGCCATGGCCCCCAGCACCGTGTCCCTCCCCGGCAGGCAGCCGTCCGGGTCCTGACCAGTGTGAGCAGTTGGTTAGGTGAACCCCCTGCCCACTAATCTTCATGCCTCCCCTCTGCTCTGAATCAAGTCCCAGCCCCTCAGCCTGGCTTCAGCCTCTGCCAGAACCGGGGAGTCCCGCCCCGATGACATGGTGAGGGGGAGACCAGCCAGGAAACTTCAGGACCTCAGGCCTTGTCCCCACCCTCATCGTCCTCCTGGGTGGGCGGCCAGGGCCCCTCCTCCCTGCCCCCGCCCCCTCGGTGTGGCGGGAGCAAGTGGCCAAAGGGCTGCAGTTCACCCATAAAGTGTCTGGGAAATGCCTGCAGGCGGGGTGGGGGGGTTGGCGGGGGGAGGTAGGTGCAGCGCTGGGCTGTTTACATTTTCACTCTCTCCAAGACCGCGCCAATTAGAGCGTGGACCCCATCTCGGGGAAGCCATGAGCCGGTTTAAAGGGACTAATTACTTCTGAGGCCTTCGGGCCAAGCTTCACAGAAAGCAGGTGATTCATTCAGGAAAGGGGGTGGGGGGGCTTCCGAATGGTACTCTCTTCCAGCCTGGCCAGTCTCCACTCAGGGCTGTGCTGGGGCTGGGGCTGGGGCTGGGGCTGGGCTGGGGCTGGGCTGGCGCTGGCTGTGGCACGGGCACCGCAGGGGGCAGATGGGGGGCTTGTGTCAGCTGCACCTGCGCTGTGATCCTGGCTCCAGCCTTTTCTGGAGGTGGGGCCTCAGGCAAGTGGCTTAGCCTGTCTGTGCCTCAGTTTCCGCACGTGTAAGGTGGGGTTAGCACCTACCCTGCAGGCCTGTGGTGCGAATGGAGCAAGATGGGGCGTGGTGTGCCTGGGCGTAGTCACTGCTCGGTAAATATCATTGAGCAGCATCGTCCGGAGCCTTGCCGGGCACAGCCCTGTTTAGTCAATATTTGCAACAGGAGGGATTGATGGGGTGCCGGGCAACAGCCCAGGTGCGGGTGGCGGGGAGAGGGAGCCGGGCAGGAGAGCAGCGGAACCAGGGGGTTGGCAGCCGGGCAGGGGAGCGTCACAGGCGTGAATAATCCTGCCAGGAAGTGCAAGCGGTATCGGTGCGGAGAGAACGGGAGTTCAGAGGGGAGAGTTACAGCCGTGTTAATAGCTCACTGGGTTTTTTAAATGGGATTTGATTGAACACAGCCCTCTGGCTAAGGAGTGCGTGTGTAGAGAAGGGGAGGATGTAGGTCAGAGGGAACTTCAGGGATCAACCTCCTCATTCTCTGAGGGACAGGACGGGCCTCAGGGGGCTGAGCCAGGGTGCTAGACCCCGCTGCAGTGGGAGTGTCCCCCGGGGAGCTGGGCTTCAGTGGAGCTGGGGATGCGGGGTC